CCCCCCCCCCCCCCCAAATTTAATGCTGAGATGTGACCGGTACCATTATTTAGTGCTCAATTAGTGCTGGCGAATGGTACCATCGGTTAATTTTATGTTGCGATATGGAGCTAGCACCAATTGAAAAATGGGAAAAAACTCGATTTTATCAAAAATGAGACTTTTTTGTACTGTGACTGGGCTATAAAGTTAGTGCTGGATTAGTGCTGGAAAACGCACTTTTCAGATCTAAAAAATGTTCACTTCGTATCGAAAATCTAGAGAGGCGTTGGACGGATTGTATCACTCTTGAAAGGAAACTATGTCGATGAATAAAGCAAAATTTGGCCGAAAAAGTGTGTTTTCTTTGTTATCCTACGGACTTATTGACCCATGTGTCATGTGTTATTTTCAGAAGCGTCGGCCGAAGAACGCACCAGTGCTCTTGAATCCTTTGGAAAATCTAGAAAATTCCCATAATTTCAAAAAAATGATGGAATGTAAACTGGAGACGAATGAAAACAAAAGACGTTGGAATTATTTGTGGACATCCCGAAATTTCACATTATTTATTTGATTTTCTTACAACGACCGAAAAATGGAACGAAAAATGACTAATTCCTAGCTAAATCCAATTGTTTTTGGTTCACAATTCTTGTTTTCATTTTCTTCTTTGTTTTCACTCTTGATTTCAATGGGTCTCTGATCATTAGTAGTGATTTCAATGGAGATAGCTCTCATTAAAATTCGCTACGAATCTAGACTTGATCAAATGATTTTGACATAAATATTCAGTGTATGCTCAAATCTCTGTGGAGAGATCCATTAAAATTTGCTCGAGCTATTTTATGATTTGTATGGATACTTATGGAGTACAGTTTGAGATTATATATGAAATCATGTTAACTTAGCTACTAGAAAAATGTGAAGGTTTGTGGTGGTGGTGAAATTACACACTTCACGTGCTAACGCAAAATGCAAGAAAAACATTTTCTGCGTGTTTAATCATCACTTTTATCGTCCATTGAACGGGATCGGCTTCTTGAGCGTGAAATTGAACGTTTTGGTGACTTTGAATCACCACCGCTTTCGGAGCGTGCACGGCGACGGATCTTGTTCACTGGCAGAGCTCTTCCGTTGCGTGGAGTGCGTGCTGAAGAAGAGATGTAATTATGCATTTAATTAGATGATTAGTTCAATTAGAGAAAATTGGATAATTTTTTCTTCAGTTTTGAAAATAGAGTACTTACAACGAGATCGGGATGCCGAAACTGATCGGGATCGACGATCACGTGGGCTTCCATTGCGCACACTGCGTGCTAAAATGAAAAGAAAAACAACAGAATTGAATCAAAATGTTCATACTAATAGCAGGTAAAGTAGTCATTCAGGTTAACTTACAGCGTGATCGAGATGCACTGCCCGAACGGGAACGGCGTTCGCGTGGACTGCGACTACGTGGACTGCGCGAACGAGATCTAAAAGAAAAAACAAAGTGAATTAGTTTTTGCGCCGAGCAATTATTCGAATTGAATTCGTTTTGTCCTGGTGTCGTGTTAACGGACGATTTTTTTTATTGTTTAAAAACGTATTCTAAAACCACTACCGCTATTAATCCGTTTAAAAACTATCACTAAAATGGAATTAAATTAATTGAACGGAAGAATCAAGATATTCACAAAATGAAAGGAAAAAAAAAACGTTTTGAGTTAAAGCGAATTGATTTGATTTTTTTTTTAACCGAAAAAAAGTTTGGTCCCGGGAGTTGGAATATGGTTTGCAATAATTATAAAAATAGAACAAAATGATTGGTTTTTTTTGTGTGTGTGTGAAAAATTTTGTTTTGGGTTACTTAAAAATTACATAGTAAACTCACTGGTTATTCATTGATCAAATGAATTTGTGTTCATATCAATGACTGAAACATTCTACATTGTGGGTGTGATAATTGTAAATGGTTTTCTAAAGCAAACAAAACCGCTGCAGCGAAGTATAACGTCTTTTTCTTTCTTTTCGTGTCTGTTTGTGTGTGTGTGTGTGGCGTGCAGATAAATATCGGATGGCGCGCGCAACTGAGAGGGGATATATCTGATGCGAAACAAGACTAGGTGTTCGATATACGTGTGTGTACGTGTGTATGGGATGTGTGTGTGTGTATGTGGAGTACTGCAGATGTGGTCTGAAGAACGGAACAAACGGAAACGTTCGCTGAAAGCAGTCAGCAAATGAATCGAGATGCATTTGGTTTTTGGTAAATACTTTTGTGGTGTCGCCTGTTGCAGTCAATTTAAATCAAACTTAAGGAGTCTCTTTCGCGTACCCACACACACGCACATCTAATCTTCGAAATGCTGACGAAAAATGTGCGTCGATTGAAATGCTTGATATCTGTTTTGTGTTTGGTGTCATTCGCTGACTAAAGCCACTGAAGCGCAAACAGTTGAACCGCTCAAACGTTGTAAATGCATGCTTTTGATCATGGGTTGAAATACATAGCCAATCGATTGAAGAAACACGATGAATGAAGAAGAAGTAGCGACGACGCTGATCTGCGCTGACCCTGAACCTGACCTGACCGAAGCTCACTAAAGGATGCTACTCTGACTAAACACAGTTTGTTTTGCTATTTAGTGGATGCCAATCAATTTGCTTTTTGTTTTGAAATGGGTTTTCAATGCGCCGAACATTTCGCGACCGCGAATCTAGTTCGGGCACACGCGTAGGGAAGTTGAATAAAAGGTCGTTACAGCCCGTTTGTGTGTGTGTAGTGTGTGCGTGCTGCGTAGATGTGCCGTGTTGCGCACACGATGCCCAACCATATTTGTGCTTGCGTGCGTACTTGTGTGTGTATGTCGATTCATTCGATTAGGATGCTAGAAGATGACAACAATTGTGAATTGCACTTGTCTTGGTTTTTGGTATTTTTTTGATTTGTTCTGGGGGGGACGACACAATCTATCGATGCCTTCAACTAAACACACGAGACTGATGATTTATTTGGATTTCGGACGTGTGACACTTTGCATTTGGTCATATTGTCTACGTTCTGCCCTCGACCCTTTTCATTTTTGTATCTCACTTCGGCCGAACAACGTTTGTGCGTGTGACTGTCGGTCTGTCTGTGTGCGTGTCTGTCTCAAATCTCTTGCCCCAATGCGCAACTACGAGTGAAGTAACTATGGTTCATTTTGGTTATCGAGAACTGAGGAAGCAATTCGTTAAGACAGGTGTGTTCAGTTGAATCTGACCTACAACATGCATTCGATATTCGATTATTATTATAATTTGGTTTTGATTTTTTGTTTTTTGTTTTTTTTATGATATAAAAAATAAATGGAATAATTTGCAATCGGTTTGGCTCGCTTGAATTTGCAACAAAAAAAAAACACAAATAAAACTTAAAGTTACTGCTAAACAGTTACGTTGATGGTCGTACACATTGCCGCCATTGCACATCGGCGAATGGCGATTCATTGGCCAGTTCCTTACACTGATGGTTCCATGTTGCATCGATGGGCAAAACAAAAGAATGAATCCGACAAAATCACTTACCGTTTGCGGGTTCGCCCATGGCGACGGCAATCCCGGGCATAATGGCCTCGGTCACCACATTCATAGCAACGATCGTCTAGAAATTGAAGAAAAATGAAGAAAATTTAAGAAAAAATATTCATATTCTGAGCTGGGAGCAAATCCACAAAGGAAGTCCATAATTAGTCACTCTTGAGGGCAAACAAAAATGTGTGGCTTTAACTTATTTGTTTTTTGTTTGAATAGTTTTCAAGTACCAGAACAACAAATAAAGCGTTGCTTGTTAACAGTTGAGGCAAATTGCAAAATACAACACCAAAACACTTTTTTTTGCAAGATAATGAACCAGCAAGCTATGTCAAAGCTCGCTGATGTATTAGAGACACAAAAAAATCGTATCAAAACTTGAAAGACATGAATTCAACTCACCTTGGTGATAAGGGCGACGGGACTTGGATCCGCGATAATTTCCACGGCCGGATTTGCCACTTGACACTTCTACTCGAGCTCGTCGACCGCAAATCATGCGCCCATCCAAACCGCGTACAGCGTCTTCGGCATCACGGGCCGATTCAAATTCGACAAATGCAAAACCTGGTGGATTGCGTGCAATCCAAACGCTCCTCAATGGTCCATAGTACGAAAATGAATCTTCCAATTCATTTTTCCGTGCATGATTTCCCAAATCACCAACATACACTTTCGTATCGCACGGGTATCTTGACATACGTTTGCTCTACGCATTTGTGATGGAACAACAACAACAACAACAAAAATGAAAAAAAATAATCGATTAATTGATGAAAATTACCGCATATAGAACATCAAACAAGGAATTTTAGTTCCAATTGAACGGAAAAATGATTGAATTTTAATGTTTAGTGCAAATTCACCGTTTTGATGCATCTTATGATAAAATCAATAAAAAAAATGAAATTTATATGTCTTACCATGTTCACGAGTAAAGGCGTCAAACTGTGTGTGCTGCAATAAAAATTGGCGTGCCTCACAAACTGCCGTGACAGAAAGAATGTTTCGTTGATCTTTTATATGTCTGCGAAAGAGAGCAACAACGAAAAATGGCGTTCAATTGCAATTGAATATTCGTCGCTTTTTTTGTTTGTTGAAATTATCTCCTGCCTCTTCTTCTTTTTTTTCCGTCTATATGCAGCCGAGTATAATAACTGATGGCTGCTGCTCTTCGGTATGAAATGCTATGCGCATAACGTAGTTGTCAAAAAGATGAAGGCAAAATAATAGGATAGAGAACAAACGAAACGGAGAAAAGAGACGACAAATAAACAACAACTCTGTCTATATGGAATGTGAATCAAAATGCTTGCCTTTGAAGAGCACACACAAATGCTACACACAGAGACACGGTATCTGTGTTTCTTGAAATGCTGTGAATACTCAAAATGTAGGTAGACGGCAAAATTTAGACGAGATAAAATGCCGAAACAATCCAGAAAAGGAAAAAAAAAGAATTATCCGTTGAAATTGTTAGTGTGCCGACCAATGTGTTGACTCACTCACTGAAAATCAGCCAATTCACGGAAGAGCAAAGCAAAGCATACAGCGAAATATACACACATACATACGCCGCACACATATATTGCATTGTAATGGTACGACGCGCCGAACTAAGCAATGTATATTTAATAGTTTCTTGGAACTCTCGGTTCTTCGGTTCGTTGAACAGAGAAAGCAGCAGGCAAAGAGAAGAGAAGACAAAAGACGCGCCAATATCGAGTGTCGCAGCGTCATTTTTGACAGAAGATTTACGAAATTACCGCTTCGATTGCGTTGCTTTCCTCCCCACTCTATTCGAACAAACCGATAGAACGACTGAAATTGCGGCCGGTTCACATGACCGACCGCGACGGAATTTTCCATTGGATTGAATACAAGAACATGCGTTACACATTTTGCCTACGAAACCAATGCTTAATTTAAATCATGGAAAAAATTGAAAAACTCTTCCAAATGAATGAAAATTAATTTTCGGCTGCTTTAAAAGACGAAAATATTTTTTCCAATGAAATCGTACGATTTTTCTCGCAAAATTTATATGGTTTCATTTGCCGATGGAGCAGAGCCGAGTGTGAACCAGGCGTAAAGCATCACAAGCCACGAGTGCCGATTTAGTGCGTTGTTCTTGCGGTAATTTCGAAAATGTCTACGATTCATTTTTCAACCGGTTTGTGGCCATACCGAAACGACGAGGAAAAAAAAGCTTAAAGTGCAATGGCCGCCGTGATGATATGAGCTCATTTCGGTTTGTCATGGTTAAGTTAGGTTATATTGAACAGCACATTATTTTTAAGTTTATATTTTTAAGAAGGATTTAAAACTAAATTTTTAGTTTAAAAATAACGTTAAACAATAAGTAAGTGTGCTCTGCAATAATCTAATTTGCTAATAGTTTGTAGCGAATAAAATTTAAACGTATAAAATCAAGTTGAAAAAAAAAATATTGCTTCATTTTCATCGCTACGACACGACAAGAGAAAAGAAAAAAGAAGAACGAAGATAGAGAAGAGAAGTAGAAGGAAAAAGGCAAAAAAGAGAAAGAGCCGAAGAGAAGAAGGAAGGAAAAAATAGACGACGACAACGAGTGAAGAGAAATATCGTGTGCGTGTGACTTTTTTTTTATACGTTTATATTACTCCGCATACCTTTATACTGAGAGAGAGACCGACACACTACATATATTGAAATATACATCCATCTAGCGCGTTCATTATATTTGAGAACTAAACGAATTGAAAAAGCGTAAAGAATTTTTTTAAACGTGAACACCAAGCCAACTACAATGGAGGAAGATGAAAGAGGTAAATTATTTGTCGGTGGTTTGTCATGGGAAACTACCCAAGAAAATCTTCAACGGTATTTCGCACGCTATGGCGAAATTATCGACTGCGTAGTTATGAAAAATAATGACACGGGTCGTTCGCGTGGTTTTGGCTTTGTCACCTTTTCCGATCCCAACAACGTCGGAATTGTGCTAAAAAACGGGCCGCATACATTGGATGGCCGTACAATTGATCCGAAACCATGCAATCCGCGTACATTGCAAAAACCGAAGAAAGGTGGCGGCTATAAGATCTTTTTGGGTGGACTACCATCCAATGTCACCGAAACCGATCTACGTACATTCTTTGGGCGCTACGGCAAAGTCACCGAAGTCGTCATCATGTACGACCAGGAGAAGAAGAAATCGCGTGGTTTTGGTTTCCTCTCGTTCGAAGATGAGGGTTCGGTTGAGTGCGTCACCAACGAGCGCTACATCAACTTGAATGGCAAGCAGGTTGAGATCAAGAAGGCCGAGCCACGCGACGGCGGCGGCTACAACAAGATGAGCACCGATCCAAACCAATGGAATCACCATCAAGGAGCCCCATTAGGTGAGTTTTTTTTTATTTTAGCCTTTTTTTTCGATTTTTTTCCACATTTTCTTTCATTTTTTTCTCCATTTTGTCGTATTCGTTTCTGCTTTTGTTGCATTTGATATTTTCGCACATACGGTATTTTTTTTTTCGTTAGCCATTCGGTAAGTGCGTCATTCGTTCACCGTTCGTTCGCCAAGAAAAAAAAAATCAAGTCGAAAAATGAAAAGAAACCATGTTTTATTCATGAAATAATTTCGCGAGTTTTTGGACGAATTTGAAATATGGCATAACTTTCAAACGTATTTTGTTGGGTTTTTCGCAATTTTCTTCACCGCTTCGATGTACCATATTGCCAAAGTTTTTTATTGCGCCATATTCCGTAAAGCGATTGTTTTCATTACAATCAAAGCATGAAAGTATGTGTGTATGTGTTCGCTTGATTCGAGTGCGTTTCCACGAGAGCTGAAAAATGTGTGTATATGTGAGTGTTTATTTTTGGAACAATGGCAAACATTCGATGAAAAGCACTTGTATGGATTTTTATGATTCGTTTTATTCTCTTGTGAAAATTTCATTTCGATTGGATTTGTTTCCATTTTTCTTTTCATTTTTCATTTCGACACCGCTGAAATTCAAGATACGAAATAAATTTTAATTTTTTGTGGTATTTTTTTTTGTTGTTGTTGTTTCTATGGAATTTTTCGTAATGCTTTTGCAAAAACTGAAAATCTGAAAATAATAATGAAGGAATGATGCAAGGTCCCAATGGCCAGATGAACGGCCCGCAGATGAATATGCCGATGGGTGCACCGAACATGATGCCAGGCTATCAAAACTGGGCTACATCGCCACAACAACAAGGATATGGGTACGGTAACTCGAGTGCTCCAAACTCGTACCAGGGATGGGGTGCACCACCACAAGGACCTCCACCACAATGGTCTAACTACAATCCGCAACAAACAGGTAAGCCACTAGTACAACAAGTACACACACACGTTTTTTTCTTCTTGCGTTTTGTTTTGTTATTGTTGTAAACCAAACAAGCTAGGAGTGTTCAACGGTGCTGTTCCGTAATATGTAACACTGGCAACTACCTACAAATTTTCGATCAAAATATATAATTCGTAAATAATTCCCGTTTCTAAAGCAGCCGGTGGTTACAACAACTACGACAATTTGCAATACAATTCGACGGCTGGCGGATCTGCAAACTGGGCCTGGTTGCCAAATCCACCAAACAACACAGCAGGCACTGGTGGTTCCGGTCCCGATATCTATTCGCGTTCGCAATGGACAGGCAATGCGCAATCAACAACTGGCCCATTGAGCGGCATTCGTGCCGGTCCAGGTAATTCAGCATCAAAGAGCGGATCCGAATATGACTACAGCGGCTATGGATCTGGCTCCGGTTATGATTACGATTACAATAATTACGCAAAGGATCAAAATAATTATACACAACGTACATATGGCAACGATACAACAGTATCCTCACAATATCCGCCAAGCCAGCAAGCTGTTTAAACTTTAGACACCCGCCCCCCCGCCCCTCTCGTTTTAAAATAGCATGCAAAACAACTATGAACTTTCTTTTTACATCTCTAATTAAATCAATTATCAAACAAGAAATAATAATTAACTACTTTAAACAAGATTTAAAAGAAAATGGTAAAGAAAACACAACAACAAGAAGATAGAAAAAAAATGTCTAAAAAAACCCAAAAAAATTATTCAACACAAAAGCAGAATATATTATTACTATTATGATGTATACCTAATTATATAACAATCTATATATGTAAAGAAAAACGTAAGCAACTCTACACAAGAAAAAAAACAAGTGGAAAAAACAACAGCCAAACCGTGTAACTCTAAGCAAATAACGAGGAATTCTATATCTCCAATAGGTTTATTTTCCGTTCGCATTTGACACAAACACACAAAAAATCACACAGACTTAGCTACACACACTTTGCACACTCAGATTTCAAAAAAAAAAACCCACATACATTTCCTTTAACTTTTGCGTTATTGTACTTCTTTTTCATTTAATTCTTATTTTTTAACAAAAGATTTTTTTCGTTTTATGACACTGTCATTCATTTCATGAGGACAAAAACCAGCTTAAAATCGCTTCAAACGAGAAATTTTCAAAAAAAGGGATAATTCGGATACACAATTTTTTTTTTTCGTTTGTTTTTTAAAAGAGAAAGAGAGAGAGGTTGATAAAAAAGAATAAATTTTAATTTTGCACTCATTTCGATTATAATATCATATATCGTGATTTACAAAGAAAGAATTACGTTATAATTTTTGTTCTCTAATTAGTTGTTTCACGTGTGCACGTGAGCATCAAAAAAGCGGTAAAGATTTAATGTTTAAACGTGAACATAGAAAATGAAACTAATAGATTTTAAAAGAAAGAAAAAAAAACAAGTTAAAACAAATTAAATTTAGAGCAAACGATAAAGATTGTACTAATTTATATAAAGTAAACAAACAAACAAAAAAAACATAGAGCATACAAGAAAAACCCGACTGACACAAAAACAAATTTGATAATATTTAAAGTAACAGTAATTCATAACGAGAGTAAAGCCGTAAAGTTATATTTATACAAGTTTTTAGTAGATAAAAATCCACAGAAAATCCCAATCAACAATAACAACAACAACAGTCATAGCATGTCAATTGCCCACTCTCTTCTTGGACAAGAATTTGTTTTTAGCAATGATCGATTTCGAAATTAAAACAACAACAACAGCACACAATCAAATTTGTTATCATTGATTGATTAGAGCAAGCAAACAATTAAAATTCATTTGTAATCGAACACTATATCGACGGAAAATCGAAACTGAATTCGATTTTCTCGTCGTAGGAATTTCTTTTTTGTATTAAATTTGATTAAAAGTATCTTGAACACATTCATTGTAATAAAATCCAGGACAAGTGTTTATATATAGTCGATTTGAATGATTTTTTTCCCAAACAAACAATAGCTTCGGTCGAACAATTTTGCAAGCATCAACACAAAATACCAACAACAAAAAATTGAGTGAAACAAAATGAATCCACTTCAAAAGAGATTTTATGATAGCAATTGTATTCTTTAGTAGATTTAACAAACACACACACACACCAACAAATGTTTGGAATATCATGATTTTTTATCATTCATTTTCTTCTCCCATTTCCCCTCAGTTGATACGAGAGAGGAGAGAGGGACAGAAATACTAAGACCAGAATACAACACACATGTTATGAAAGGCGTGGAATGGGAAATTTTGTTGTAAAAATGAGAATTAATTTAGCAAATAGTACATAACCGCTGACTTTGATACTTTGTGTAAAAGTTTACGTTTTTTCTTCTTTGGGAACACCGATGCTCAACAAGTGCATTAATTAAATAATTGGAATGAGTTTCTTTTTTTTAAAAGTAATAATGAGTAAAAAAAAAAATAAAATAGGAAAATTATACATGAACACTACCTTTTTTTTGTAAGCACACACAAACCACATATTTTTCGATATAAACAATTATAATTAACATGCAGAAAATATTGATCTTTTTTTTATTTTGGTATTATTATCATTTTGATGTAAATTGAAACCTGTTTTTGTTTTTATGTTCGCATATGATTTTTCCTCGTTGTTTTGAATACGAATCGGCATGAGGCCGTCTCTCCATCTTGATGCAAGAGACGATCAAAATAGTCGTTCATTATTATTTTTTGGTTTGGGTTCAATTGTTTTTTTTTTATTGCATCAGTCGCGCGTCACTGCAGCGCGTACTGAAGAGAGAAAGAGAAAAAAGAGAGTGTTTCGTTGCAAAATCAGATCATAATAATACATCAATCAACATAATCTATAACCATTACTAACATTTTTGACTTTCATTTTATTTTCGAAAAAATTTTCACCCTTTTAACTTCCTTATTAAAGATTTTAATCAACATTAATCGGTTTTTTGTGTTCTTTTTCACTGATGAGGTTTTTTATTTTGTGTTTTTTTTCTTTTTTGGTTTGTCTTGCACCACACTATGTTTTAGTACTAACCCCTTTTCTTTTTTATATTCATATAATATTATTACTACTAACATCGCGCTACGCATTAAAGCACACAATTAGGCATATATATGTTGAAATGCGTTGGGCAACTAGGAGGTGTTTGTTTTGACATATATAATTTTTGTATGGTGTTTTTTCCCTTTTCGTCTGTGGAATGGATTTAAATATTTTTGAATTGGATGGTTGAAAGAAATCGCAGATCGTTTTATTTCGAAATAATCATCTTTCGTTTTTTTTTTAAAGAACCAATTAACGAGCTTGAGTGTGTGTATGATTCCAAATAGACATTTCATTTGTGTTTAGATTTTGACCAACAACAATAATAACTCAATTTTGTTTTTCAAACGAATTGGCTGGAGTTTTTTTGTTTGTCATACACAAGCACACACAAACTCACAATCTTATCCAGTTTTTTCTATTGACTACTCGATATAATAATGTAATAATAATGTGTAAAATTTAATTAAATGTAAAAAAAATCTAGAAAACCTTTCAAAAAAAAGAGAAAACTTTGACAAAGAAAAAAAAAAGTAATCAATTCTGAGCGAAAACATCCGTTGACCGATCAGATGCAACCACAAACGATCATAAAAAAAGAATATTTTCCTCTGATTTCGAATAATGTGGTTTTAAAAAAAAAAACATACATGCATCCCAATAAGCGACGCAAGCGTATCGATAAAAATTACACTCAATAAATACAAATGTGAACAAGAAATAGACACGACACACACACACACAGAATAATAAGAAACAAACAACAACTTCTAAATACAACCATCTAAGAGACAGAGCAAATGGATAGCAGAACAAAATGTATCCGAGACAAAGAGAATAAGAGAATCTTAAAATCGAAATACAGGCACCGAATAATGGTCTGATAATTATATTTTTTACTATTTAAAAAGAAGAAGAAAAAAGAACAAACAAGGAAAATCGTTAAATTTATCAGTTTTACATCTAATTCTTAAACAAGTAAGAAGAAATCTCTCTTTATTTTATTGTTTCGATTCATTTTTTTCCGCGTATAAGGACTTTGAACTTGGAGATTCTTAAATTTACGGTAGCTTGAAAAGTTTGTAGTTATTTTTCTTTTCTTTTCTTTTAAAAACAATCATCATCATCAACATGGGCAAGAGGCAGGTGAAGTTGTGATCGATGTGGATGTTCTTTAAAATGAAGACATCGATGGAATTGTGAATCGAGTTTCCAGAGCAAGATTCGAGTTCCTGGAGTGAGATCCATATTTCGGCCCCACATCATGACATAATGATCATTGGCAACTTCGATCGTCGCTAAACCAGCTTATTGCCCATGGATAACGAAGTACTTCTACTTAAAATTAATCAAACATGTATGAACTTGTATACAAAACATGCAAAGAGAACATTTTCGTTTCTTCCTCGATATCCTACAATTAACAAGCAAAAAAATTGTTTTTAAATTCTATTTTAGCGAATTTCATTTTCTCTCTCAACTGTTTCTTTTTAGTTTATCTTTTTCTTGATTAAAGTTGATTTTCCTGATAGTTTGAGTACTCTATATATATATGTGAGGAACATAAGAAATTATCGGTTTTTGTTTTTCTTCTTCATTTCATATCTAAATATCATTTCGGATCATTTCGTTCATAATGAATAGGTGAAGATCGTAATTTTAATGGCTTATGTAATACAAAAGAAATCTATACCATTGACGACAAAAACAACAGAGGTCACATTAAACAAATAAAAAACACATTAAATATAGATAACAAATTGATTTAAAAAATTTAATTGAGAAGAGAAATTCACCATTGTGTACTATTTAATAGAGGCTGTCGATATCGGTCCCATAAGTGTTGTTGTGTGACACCAAGCGAATAGGTTTCTAAAAATAGCAACAACAAAATTGTAAACAATTAAGGCATTGGCCTGAATAATCGAAACGGATTTTACATTGAATTTGGCGATGTCAAGTGTTCGGTTCAATGAACGAACCTCTCTCGTTCAATTCAATGTTGGATCCCGATTTAATTCATCCACAATGCCAACAATGCAAAACACTCTTACGCTAGTGAATCCATCAGCCGTCGCGACACTCCGTTTCGACACTTCTACCTATTACAAGTTGAAAATTTTTTTTAAACAAAAAAAAAAACTCTAAATCATAGTGAGAAAGTTATAACGTTACGAAAGAGAAAAAAAAGAAACAATTTATTTATTTTTTACGTAAAAAAAGAGCAAAAACGAGAAAAAATGAAAAACACACTCATACACACAAGAAAAGAGAGCTAAAATTTAAGTGAAACGTGAAGAAGAAGAAGAAGAAGAAAACAACATGAATTTAGTAAATTTAATGATTTAAGAGAAGAGAGAGTTAATTGTAAATGTAATCTGTAACTAACTAACTGAATACAACACAACCTGATTATGGAGGAAAATCAATTTTTCTTTTCTGTTTAGTCCATTGTTTTAGGAAGTAACACAAATGGGAGCGTTTAAATTTAATTCTGGTAAATAAGTGGAAAGAAATCACACAATTTTATAGTTCATTTTTTTTTCATCCTGTATGGAAACATAAAATAAAACCAAAAAAACAAGAAGATAATACACATACACAAAAACATACAACATCAACATCAACAACACATTTTTACGCAACGTTTTTCTTTTTCGACATATTTCAGTTCTTTTGTATTAGATTACAAAGTTGTGAACCGAGCGATTGGCCAATTCCAATAGTCCGGTATAGCCATCGAATCGATGTGACTGGTCGATTGGATCGCGAATCGCATGACCACACACTCTGTTTAGACGTTAAAGGTTATATAGATTTGTAAAAATAGCAAGAGCAAGTGGAGCAACCTTTAAGATTTATCGTGAAGCAAACAAACAAAAAAGTGTAATTTTAAATTGAACCAAATGCTATGAAAAAAAATACGGTTTAGACAAACAAGTAATTTAAAACATTTAGCAAAAAAAAAAACAAATGAGAAAAAATGAATAATACCTATTTATACGTTTACTTATAGATTTCAAGATAGAAACTATTGCATTAATTTAAAGAGAAAAACAAACAATAACAACATTGAATTGAATCAAAACTGGACAACAACTCGAAATCATGATATTCACATGTTATAGTTGTAATTTTACATCAAAGCAAAAAACGGCCAAACAATGTCAAAAGCAATCCAAGACAGCGAAACTTCGTCCCTCTTCAATCTGTCTAACACTAACACTTCCTATTGGATGAATAAAATGGCTTGCAATTACTTCTTCAGATTTTTAATTGTAACTTAAATCCAATTTCTTTGCAAACCAAAATCAAATGAATCCATTTTTCTTAGTATGGTCGTAATCTGCTGACCAAACCACCCTTTTCTCATTCCTTTTGACAAACCAAATATAACATTGAATTAGAGTTTTGTGGTGACAATAGTCTCTCTCACACATTTAAAAAAACATACTCACACACCAGACACATTATAGTGGCACACAACAACAACAACTGGAACTTTTTTGCATAGAACATCAACATCCAAACTATAAATTGTAATTTTTTTTAAATAGACACACACAAATTTTCTAAATAAACTCCATTTTTTAAATGAAGTATGACAAACGTTTGCTAGACAAACACTGAGTAACGAAACAAAAAATAAAAATTATGAAAAAAAAACTAAATAATAAAATGAAAAAATTATGAATTTGTTGAAACAGACAAATGTGCGTTAACTATTAAATAGAGAAAATGAAAATGTGTATTACATTTTGACTAAAATAGACACTTAAATTACGAATTAGCACTGGTACCAAAAAAGAGATGAAGAACTTCGAGAAATGTTTTTACGCGTGTTTTGTTCTATTTCACATACACACCAGGATTTTTCCTCATAGGCCAAACGTAAGGGAGTTTTTCCGTTTTCATTTTCATTTTCGATTATTATCCATACATTGTCTTCTTGAGTTTCCATTTCGATTTTTCAATATACATTATATATACATGCAATAGGCATTCTATATACACTTTTGTTCGTACATTTAGTTTTGATACAAAAAGATGGTGATGATCAACATAAGATGAAACATGAAAAAGTCTCTGTCGATTTATAAATAACTGATAAAGAAAACATAATGTAGGGTTAAAAAAAAACAAGTACAGTTAATGAAAACAACAACAAGATGATGAAAGAAAGAAAAAAAACAACTTTCACCCCATGAAACGCTAAAATCAATATAACGACAAAATAAAACCCGCGCTCTTGATCATTGATTGATAACATAGAGAGAAAGATGATACGCGTAACTTTTTAAATACATGTATAAGACACGCAACACAACTGTGCGCCAGACTACCATAAATTTTCAATACGAACACTTAATTTGATTCGATCAAAGAACATATATATGTATCAGAACATACGGTAGAAGTCATGTTTAATGTTATTCACGTTCATAGACAACTTACACTAATTGATGAACCAAATCGTTTTTTGCCAATTTTGAAGTGCGTCTTTTTTTATATCACCGAGGAGAACCCTTATTGGAGGAAACCACCACAGGATTTGACTGAAATTAGCTTTTAAACTGAAAACCGATCTTAGAATTTAGATGATTCGATTCGATCGCAATTGAACAGCTCACATTCTAAATGAACCATTCAATTAAATGAAACAGGACACTCGCTAGATTCAATCTTATGCACGATAATATCGGAGATCAATATATTGGTCATATGACCGTTCTCTTCAAAAGATCAAAGAAAAAAAAATCAGAAAAAATAGATGGAAGAAGACATGATTTGAAAACGGTGAAAAATGTTTGGTTCTGAAATAAAACTTTAAGAAGAAAAAAAGCCCAATTCCTCAAAATGAATTTTTTTCAGGGCAGCCTGCCCAACAAATATGCATGTGCATTGTGCAGTTTAAGAGTACATTTAATGAACTAATTTAAACAAAAAAAAAAAAGATATATGAAAACAAATTGCTAAATAAAGAATAATCTTAATTACATTATAAAAAAAAAGTCTACAAACAAAAAGAAGCTAATTTTAACAAGGAAACGATGGCAAAAGTACGAAGAAGGAAAGAATGAGAGAGAAAATAATAGAGTGAGCAAGCAGATAAGTAAGTGGGAATGCAGGCATCAAAAATGTTGAATAACAATTTTGACACGTTAACGATGTTGTCGCGACTACAAGATATAATACATACAATTTGTTTTTTACATACATAAATGGGAAGTAATGAATTAAATTAATGTAGCAAAGTAAAAAAAAACATACACACACACACAAACAAACACCCCAAAAAACACAAAAAGAGGAAAAAATTCAAAAAAAAAAAAATGATATTAAATAAACACATTAGTTTGTACGTAGTTATTCGTGTAGAAAAAAGAGAATGATATACTAATTCAAAGGAAAAAAAACAACAACAACAAAAATAAAATTATAATACATTATATATGGAAACTCTTACCTATTGATTTGTCTTCTAAACAACAAAATACGATTAGCAAACGAGAAAAAATATTTTCAAGTTTTTGATTTTACTAATGAATAAAATAATTATAACCAATCAATTTTTTATTTTATTTTTCAACAATATGTCTGTGTACAAGAATTTCTTTCTTTCGGTTTCTTTTCTGTATTAAAAAAAAAGATTTTATTAAAATATATACAAACAAAAAAAACAACAAACAAACTAAACAACATGTTTCTTGCATCTTGATATCTTCAAATTAAAATAATATCACATAAGGTTAGTCATGCTCATTAAACTGCACTCTCTACCATATACACACATCACACACACATCAGCATCATGTAAAAGGTTTCAAAGTTTATTGTTCGATTTACTTCTATGTACTTCTACAGCGACCGTGAGCTGGATTTAAGCAGAATAAAGACTCTTTATTAAAGAGTATATCAAGATGAGTGTCGAGTGTAGAGAGCGAAAGAGAGAGAGAGAGAGAGAGAGAGAGAGAGAGAAAGAGAAACAGGCAGACGAGAGAAGAAGATAGAATTGTGAGAGAATTTTAAATAAGGCAAAATTACTATGGATTTACTGATCAAAGTTTTAAAAATAAAAAAAAAATTAGTAAAACAAATCTACACAATGACTTTCAAACAAAAACCATTTAAGCCTTGCATTTTTATTCAATGAGTTTCCGTTCTCTTCATTCGAAACGCCTTCCTACAACGCATTTTTTTCACCGTCAGCAGCTCTTATCTCTACGAAGAACTAAGCCCTCTCCATGCAATAAACGTGATTCAAGAGATTTCAATAACACCGACGTCGGCATAAAAACGTACGATTTTTTTTCCGTATTCTTAACTTCTAGTTGAATTTGCAGAAATTCGCAGATTTGCAATAATGATAAGTTGAACGCACGCAATATGTGCCCATTGTACGCTATTGGTTTAATTAAAAGAAAATTACGCGTAGATCAATAAAACGTAAAAATATCTCATTAATAGGCCATTAAAATAAGGTAGGATTTGTTTCTGAAGAAGCGTTCTCTTATCTCTGTAAATAGCATCGAAATCGTATTTCTCTTTACATCTGACACAATCTAATCATTGATTTATCAGAATCTTGATATCAGTTTCATCGCTCGCTTTAAGCAGCCTCACACTGTTCCCAATTTGAATAGTCGCCCAATCTTCAGTAGTGCCGCACCCGTGAAATAGTTTAGCGCGTCCTAATACGTTGCGGATTGTAATATTATCCATTCTCGTGATTTATTTTCTGTGTGCCATCAACGAAAGAAACTATTAAAAAAAGAACTATGCAGTGTTTGCCATTTGAATTTATGACTGTTTGGCCCGAACCGTTTCTATGACAACGAACCACAATTTTACAAAACAAACGTTTTTCTCCACACAACACACACAAACACATTCTGCTCACTGACACGGTTGATTTCGAAATTATCAGTCAAAAATGGTTCGCATCCAGTTCGATATCTGCGTACCGAATCAATCGATAATGGACGAAAAGAATTCAGTGAATTTAAACCCGGGTGCACCGGGTACATTGCAAGATATTTCCTATAATATTGTTCAAGATCGAACAAATTCCAAACAGGCCACTGATAATGGAACGAAGGAGCGCACAATTTTCGTACTTGGCAGCAAAGGAGTGGTAAGTACACACTGTATTGTGTATATAACTGAGTTTGTTGACTTTTGGTCGATGACTTTATGAAATTTGTAATCTTTTGCAATCAATAGGGTAAGACATCGATAATAAATAACTTTTTGGATCGATCGGAAACGATCAAACCCACATTGGCACTCGAGTACTCATTTGGTAGGCGAAACGGTGGACCTGGACAAGGATTGCAAAAACAAGTGTGCAATGTATGGGAACTGGGCAGTCTGTCAAATTCAGCGTCACTGATGAATGTGCCCATAAAATCGCATGGATTCGAAAATTTTGCTGCGATTATCGTACTGAACCTTTTAAATCCAGATCGTCTATGGGGTGACTTGGAAGCAGCTCTCAATGGGTTGAAACAAACTGTTTCAACGAATGCCAACAAAGAAGCGTATGAAAAATGGCAAAAAGCCTCAGTGAAACGAGTTGGAGCTAATCATCCGGATTTGCCTACATTGGATCTATTTCCATTCCCGATTGTTATCATTGGCGGTTACTATGACAAATTTCAAGATTTTGGTAAGCAATTTGAAGGTTAAAAACTAAACGAAAATCCATTGATTTCGTTCAATTTTCAATGACATTGAACACCTCGGTTGGTTGACGTTGCAAAATTCTCATTCAAAATGTATGGTCTTGATATTTTTAGATCCAGTAATCAAGCGACATGTGGGACGTTGTTTGCGTTCAATTGCACACGTAATCGGTGCAGCACTCATTTATTATTCATCACAGCATTCGGCATTATCGAAAACCGTTCGTGATACGTTCAATCATTTTGGATTCGGTTCGCCATCGAAACCATTTCGCTCGACCGTTACGGATTACAATGAACCGTTGATCATTTGGTTTGGTCAAGACTCGTGGCAGTCTATTGGAATTGGTCCAACCAATTCAGAGCGGATTGCTATTACTTACGGTGAACAGATTCCTCAAATAAACACAGATTCAAATGCGGTTTTACCGGAGAATCCGGCCAAAGAATCAGATTTCCGTGAAGCAGTCATTGATGAGCTACGAGCACAAAAAGATGAAGAACTACTTCGATGGATAAAAGATAACGAATTCCGGAATAAATTCCAGGCCATCGCTACAACCAATTAAAATGACTGCAAAAATATTCTTCTACAGCTTTAACACGTAGAACAATTATATAGTAGAAACAAATCGTAGCAAATTATTTATTGCTGTTGGTTTATTTTCAAATCAATTATTTTATTTAAACATTCTTTTACCGTTAAATCTATATATCTATATTGACAATTGGATTTGTTTTATTTTTTCGACAAAAAGAAAAGAAGTTGAAACAATAATACAATTATTACAAATAAAACAATTTTCGTCGTCGATTTCATTTTCAGATTAGCGTTCAACAGCAAAAATAACAAATTGGCATTTTTCATTTCCCTTTTCTCCCCAATTTCATTTCACCCAAATATCATTTAGTGTGTCATCTTCCAGTTCATCGGGTGGCATTGCTTTTAAAGTACGTAGTGTTTCCATGTAAAAAGTCAGTTCTGATGTGACCATCCCGTGTTGTGGCCCACCATTATTCACAATATTGTACTTAACCAGCAATTCTCTAAGTTTGTCTTTGAAACTTTTATGCACCACGCGATACATTTGATGGATTTGCTGCTCGGTCAAAATTGGCGATAGCGCCTCATGCAGTTTGATAAAATGTCTTGAAATATTTCGGAATGATTGTGATGGAACCGGTGGACGTGCGTCCCAAGTATTTAGCAAATTGTGCACCAGTGTCGTTACGATGGTTAGAACTTTTGTTTCGATTTCTTTGATGTGACTTAAAAAGTCCTTTTCGACCGTGTCGTAGCCGGTGTTTATAAAGTTGTTGGTTGTCACGTTGTTAGTACCATTAGATTCATTGGAGTTTGTGGCATTTTTGTGTTCCAACTGTTGAAAATGTCCTTTGATCCGTGGTATGAACCAAATCACCAGCCGGAGAGAACGTGAAGAGAGAGCCAAGTTCCCAGTCGTTATAGTCGTTAAGCCTGCAACGCGAAGAGCTCCCGCACCCAAAACCAACTGGCAACACTTCGAATTGAACGTTCGCAACAAATCGATCAGGTGACGCGACAATTGATTCGAAATCATTGGTAAACTTGTGGCACACTGGCAATACTCCGAGATAATTTGCACCAAAATCAGCGCTGAATTGACTAACATAAACGGTTCCGTATCGACATAAAGTACTGACGCCGGTTTAGCTTGTTTCTGGGAATTGATTTCATTTTTGGTCCATGAAAAATCACCGTCAGCAATTCGGTCAATCATGAATTGATACTCGGCAGGCACTTCGACTTGTTTCCATCGCTCATTATCAAGCAGCAGCGACAATTTTGATTTGCGCTCTGTGTGAAATTTATTCCCAAACTTCGTGGCTTGAGCTTGAAGTGCTGCCGTAAGTGGTATTCGTTGTGTGCCGGACAGTTCCTCACAGCCAGCGCTGAATGTTCGAATGATTTCTGATAGACTTTGAATCTCCTCGGCACTAGCCACATGCTTCTCGAGACTTTGGCTTGATATCAGATTTGCACATCGTTCGGAGCAGTAATTACAAATGGAATGCATCACATCTTTCAGTTTCTCTTCGACCTTTTTGTGATCACTTTCGCTGAGGAACGTTTCCGAGTCGAATGTTTCGTCGATATCACGGTTGATCACACTCTTGCCGGCACTCGCCTCGGACACCTGATGCATAACATCCAATACGCGCTTTATTCGTCTCAGCAAACCCAGTAATAATGCCGTTGCTTTCTTGAGTAACAAAATCCATTCACCAATTGTTAGGCATTGTGCCACTTCACCAGCACCGGTCAAACATCGTTCATCGTCACTGGTCGAAATCACTTCGATTACTAATTGCTTTATGAGCGCTCGTATCGCTACGATCGCTTCATCACGGTACGTTTCGATGAATGAAAAGTTTTTCTGTCGCAATAGGCCAGACACTATACAAATTAGCTTATCCTCATCATACACTCGATCTTCATCGTCATCATCATTGCCATTGATTGGTCTACTCAGATCCATGGTTGAATACTTTTCAAAATCAGTCGCTAACATTTTATCAATTAGTCGCTCCATTTCGGTGAGCTGCGATGGCAAATGCTTAAAACAATGGATGCCAATTAGTTCTTGAGCGACAATTTCCTGTGTCGTTGAAATTAAATCCAAAGCTGCCACATAATCCTGTGTTCCGAGCAGTAGCTGTATCATTGGTTGCGTTTGATGCACCGTTTGCATTAGCTTCAGTTTATCATAGATAAAACCGTAGTGATTTCGTTTTCGATCTAGTGTTACAATATTCACAGCATTTTTTACTAATTTTTCATCGAGCAATTTCATTTTCTCGCGTAGTTTGACCACATTCGCTGTGGCATCATTCATATTCTCCATAATCGCATCTTGTGAAGTCATCGCATGAAAAAAGGCCGATGACTTTTCAGAAACCTACAAAAAAAAAGCAATTCAAGATTAGAGATATGGTTAGTTCCGTAGCCAGATAAGGTTCAACCAAAAAGTTGACAAAAAAGTCTCTTCTCTTATCAAAAAATGATGACTTGCCTGTTTTGCAATCAACACTTCGACAATATCCAAGTAGTGACTGAGTTTTTCCTGCAATAAGCGGCCTGATTTTTTGTTATCATCATCACAAACGCCGGGAAAGACGGCTTCGAATGTGTCTAAATTCGTGAAATCTAAGTTTGGTTTGGTAAATACTTGTGGAATGTCTTCTAGGCTGGCGTCATTGATTTCATATGTAAGTTTTCTATTGGCATGACTAGATGAAATCCGATTATTGCTATCGCCACCGCCGCTGCTGCTGAGCTCATTGATTTCATTCAGATCAGGGATGGTCGATGAGGTCGATGGACGTGGTGTTTTATTTTTTGTCGCTGAAAATTGCGCCGCGAACTCTTGTGACTGTATGTTCTGGTTGAGTCGTAAATGACGTCGATACCGTTTTCCAATCTGTTTGATGTAATCATTCAAATGATCGTATGTGATGTCGGGCAGCAGATGTGTTGGGCTGATGTGCACTTTTTCCACAAAACTATCGCCCCATTTTTTGGTGAAAATGTTGGATTGTTTGCCGCGGCTTGGATCGTTCAGAACAGCTGGTAAGTTCTGTGCCGCCATAAAAACGGACCATTCTTCGGGCTCGTCTCTCTTGGCGTCATTCATATGGAATTTCAAAACATGCGCCTCATAATCCCGATCGCTAACCCCATCCACCGGCAGCGAATGGCACACTCCTTTATAACCGTAGCGACACACGTACGAACCACCTTCACGTGTACAATGCCGATCACGTAAATGCCTAATCAATCAAGCACGGCGATAACAACGAAGTGAAAGAAAGAGAAAGAGAAAAAAACAATTAACTCAATACTGAACTAAATGGCGAAGTGAATGGGAACAATGTTGAAAGTATGTTGAAATGTTTAAAGTCGCTGATGCGATGTTTTTCTTTATCATTTTTACCTTAAAAACTCGGAAGAGGTCTTAAATATTTGCAATGAACAAAAATTACATGTTTGCCACGTTTGCTGTTTGTCGACCGTTGTAAATACTTTTGCCATTTGCCAATGTCGCGTACGGAATCCAATTCAATGATGTTTCATTATTCACACTCAAATACGTGTATTTATATTGTCAATGCCTATCGCCTGTTTTTATCGTTTCCAATTGAAATGAACACACATTGCGCGCTGCATCAAACGTTTTTGATTATATTTCGTTTTGACACCAATTATCACCTGTTCTTGTAATTCAATTATTTTTTTTTTGTAAAACGTTTAGCGCTACACCCAATTTTTTGACGCACTCTACGGCTTTCATACAGATCTGTTACACTTTCCGAACTTTGTACACACACATTAATTACTCACTCAACTTGTTTGGGCTATTGATTCACACAGTTTCGTTCTTTATTTTTGGTCATTTGACCGATGAGCCCCGATTGTGATAATGATCAATCTTTAAATGTGTTCAGCTTTTTTTGTCGTCGAAGTTTACTTGTACAAGGTCTGAACGAATGTGTGAGATAATATGTCATGTCATGTCATGTGTCGCTCGTATTGCGATAAATACACATCAAAATCTCGGTGTGTAAAAAGGCGAAACGTCAAACTCATCATTCCCGTGAATTCACGTACATATATCTATTTACGTTGGAGCGTTTGTCACCGATACTGGAATGATACGGTGTGAATAGTGAATGTGACTGAGGCATTCGCGTTTCAGCTGAAAGTTAGGAACAATCGCATTACAACGCAGCGTTGCCGCTTGTTTTGATTGAGCACTTACATTTCAAAATGGAATGCGTGAAGCACGGTTCATACGAAACGACTCCAAATTACTGTCTATTGTCTTCAAATTATGCACACTGATGCACGAATTCTAATTGGAATGCACTTGGAATCGCTTCTAATTGATAAATTATGCCAGATTTTGGAGTTTATTGCAAATAACACGTAGTTTTTCCACGAATTTTAAGCCATTTCAATCTTGTTGTAACCCTGTTTTGATGATGACATACGACGGAGCCGCAACCAAAACAAACATTTGGTAGGCAAATGGAAAGAGAAGCGAGTTGCTTGGTTGATTGCCAAATGTGAAAAGTAAGAAGTGCTCCAAATGGAACGAAAAGCTCTGGTCGCATTCATTGCCTTCATAATAATTGGAATTCATGATACGATGCATAGAGTTTGTTCGTACCGGTAGCGTTTGCGCTATAGAAACAGTCAAAAGTACGCGTGGTCCATGTTATTTGCGGTGGTGTATATTTTTTCACTTCGTATTTTTTTTCTCCTCTTCACAATTTTGTAGTATTCGTTGGTTCGTGTTATTGTATTTGTGATTATTGTTGTTGTTGCTGTAGCATTTTCGTGTGGTGTGTTTTCCTGATTTTCAATAGATTTTGTCCAGTTCTCGTTTAACTGTTCTACAGCTTACTATGCAATGTGCTTTGCGCGCTTATATCATTCCGTTTAGAAAGTTTCGGAGTTAGGAAAGTGTGATTTTGTGGACAAATGCGTGTTGTGTAAAGTGTGATTTATTCCAATAAGAGAAGAGAGAGAAAAAAAAAGAAATAACAACACACCGTCTTAGACGGTAGACAGTGATGAAAAAGTTTTTTTTGTGTTATGAGCAATGTAATTGAAAGTAGATGTATATAGGCTAATAGTGACGCTAAGAAATCGAAATCGAAGAGGTGCGTGTTACACTGGTGATTCGACGAGAAAAAAATATTTGACCGAAGAGAACAAAGAGATAGAAAAAGAGAACGAAAACATTTTTTGGCAGTACAGTGAAATGCTATACGAACAAAAATAAGCCTAATGAAATTACGGCACACGCATGAAGATTCCGCGAATTGAGAGAAAGAATTCGACCTCACAAAATAATCGTGTATTCTTGTGGGATTCTCGTATATTTTGTGTATTTTTTTGTTGTTCTATTTGCTTCGTTCACTTTTCATTTCCAGTCGGATTTTAATCGCTAAACATTCATAGAGTTCTTTGTTTTGGTGTTTGCCTCACAATTACACACTGAGCCAATAGCACACAGCGTAGCAACGAACTGCTCGAATGGGCAACTGCTCTCTGTGTGTTTGTTTATGCTATTGTATTCTTGTTGTTTTTTCTTCTTCTTTTCGTCTTCATCGTCTGTTTAAACATTTTTTCTTCTTCTTCTTCTTGCTGTACTGAGTAAATGAGAATGTACCTTTTTCGTTTTTGAATTTCGGTCGTTGTGCATGAAATTGTCTGATCAGAGTAATAAAATACGATGGAATGTTACATGGGTTCATTTGTCTTGGTGCTGAACCAAGTGATTGGCTGAGGTAAGCACTGCATCGCGCGCTGCTCTGGCCTTGGGTCCCATCGACATTTTACCCGCTTGCGTCGTGTTTTGTACATATGATTGAGTTTTTTTTTTCTGTTTCTCTTCGTGTTTCACGAGACCAATTTTGAATTCCATCGAATAAATCTCGTGGCAAGCCCAAGCAAAGTCGAACACAAAGCGTTTAGATAATATTCTAAATCTAGAGGGATTTGCTTTGATCATCATATTACGGTCCACATCAAATCAGCCAATTTCAATAGCATTTAATAAACGAACGCCTGTGAAAATTGCTACGTTTCATCTGTGCCTATGTGGAATGGCAAGGGCATTAAAGGCAAGCAACATGCATGCGGCTTGCATACCGTAGTCGAAAAACCCAGTTTCAATCAGTTATTTAAACACGAGCCAAAAAATCGATTGCTTTTCCAACCAAGTGTCAAATTTTGAGGCTCTAAATGTCACCAACTATTTTTAGTGTTTTTTTTTACCGATATGAAATCATAAAGGAATATCCACTATTTTTGTGAATGAAGCACACACGTTATTTGGTCCTTACTTTATCGATAAACATGTTTATCGTCATTTAGTTTTGACTATTTTTCCCCCTCTATTTTGGTTTCTATGCTCCATGCTCCAAATCAATCATTGATATAACAAGTTGTTTTAATTTTCTTCTTTTCTTCGGTTGTAAGACAGCGCCAAAGACCAAAATCACAACCAATGCACAAAACGAAAAAGAAAAAAACACTCGTTCTAATTTCCAAGTTGTGCGATTGTGTAACCACCTCACTTCAATGGAACTCAACCAGCGTCGAAGCCATTGCAGTGTGGCGGTGAATGAGGCGCGCGAAAGAAAGAAATCGCAAGAAAATCAATAAGAAACAAATATATATATTTGATATATACGGACGTAATGAAAATTGGTGTGTGCTGATTATAAATTTTGCATGAGATTTTTTGCGCATTCAACCGATTTCAATTCCATGGGCTCCAGAGCCAATTTTAACGCATAACAACACAGAGATACTTAATTTTTTATTTGTTTTTTTTTCTTTCTTCGTCGTTGTCTTCGTCATTGCTTATGAATGGAACAAAAAAAAATATGGAAAAAAAATATTGAGTCATTATAAAAGCGCACCACACCAACGACCAGCCGCTGGGAGTGTTTGAGATTATAATTTTTCGTTGTCTTTCTCTCTCTTTCTCTCTCTCTCGCTCGCTCGTTTTGTGTGTGTTTTTCCCCCGCAAACGAAATATCGCATGGTTCTTTTTCATTTAGGTTAGCGTCAAGTTAAAATTAATACGATTTTTGTGTGCAAAACGACGTCTAATTATGTATTTGGGTTTGAGCATCGAAATCGAATAAAATTGAATGTGAAATCAGAGAGCCTGTAAGCAAATAATAGCAGCAGCGGCAACAGCAGCAGCCATCATTGAAGCAGTAACGAGACGGTCGCCAATCGCACCGATCGAGATTTAATGCAAGACTTTTAAACTGAAGGTAAATGACATTATATTCCAATACAAATATTAGCATTAGCAAATTGCAACATTTCAATCAAACTCAGCGAATGGAAATGTGACTCGGTTTCATTTTCATTCGCTATGTTTGCTCAAACCAAACGGCAATGTATATATTAAATTGTGAATTTGAAATCGTCAGATATTTGAGTCGTACCAAACTGTAAATTGCAATTGTAATGTGTTTCATTCCTTTCGAAACGGAAATACGCTTAAATCAATCGTAATTGAATTAATTAGGAATTCAAATGTTGGATGAATACTCAATTCTTGGCAGATGTACCGAAGTGACTAGGAGAAGGGTGTGATTTAAAACCAATAAGCCGGAATCGGAATTTAAAATGATTTTACTTTATTTTACGAGTTCTGTGCTGTTTTCACAATTAATAGAATTAATAATTTCCTGAAGATGAACATTTCTATGAATTCATCAAGTAAACGAGTGAATTTATGAAAGAACTTCAATTTGTAGCTATATTTTATCTTACTTAACAATTGAATTGAGAAATAAAGGAAAAAAAAACAATGTGCAATTGAAATGATTACCAGTTGAATAATTTCATTTATTACTATTTCATAAAACGTCGCGGATAACTGTGTCAGTTCTGCACATTTGCCAAGGTTTGAGTATCCATTTCAAATGTTGTATACACACATGTCTTACACTTAAATCCCCCTTTTGATTAGTCGTCGGCGTGGCGACATAGGGAGTGTGTTAATGAATGTGTTTCGTGTCAGAGAGGAATTGAGTATGTTCCTGGGATGACGATGATGATGAGCTTATTCAAATCCTAATAAGCTTTTGCTCGCTCATAACTACACTCCATAAACTACAATGACACCATTGAAACCATTGATGATTAAAGCAAGAGTGTCGTGTGAACGAAAGTCGCTGAAAGTCAACCGTTGATCGTTGGCCAATGTAGTGCTGTATCTTCCCAGCGAAATAATAGCAACAGCATTGGCAAAAATGGAACAGGATAATTATTGTTTGTGCATAATTTTGCCTCCAGTTTATCGAATTGTGTTCTCATAATCGCAATGTAAATGAGTAATCGCATTACTTATTAAAGCGATGGCAATTAATTAAGGACTTAGAAAAACATCCATAAATTAAAGGGAAAAAAGCATTGACCTCGTATATTTACTGGAGCGCATGATGAAACATTTTTGAATATTTGGCCTGTTTATGCGAATGAATTAGAAAGAGAGCGAAAGAGTTGAGGACGGATCGACGAAAAGCCGCATGGAAAATGAACGTGACACTTGACATGCAAATTAAAATTACACTTTTCACACAGTTTTGAATAATTGGCCGTAATACAAACGAGTCGGTAGACAGCATGATGATTTCATTTGCATTTGCATATAGAGAAAGAGAAACAAAAACGTGGTGGTGAGAAGGGAAAAGTTGTTGAGCTGTTTATTCGCGTACTGTGCGAGAGTAGATGAGCGACGGTGGAGAGAATAAAAAGTGAATGGTTCTATATATATCCTTGAGATATGCATTCTTTAAAAATGTGTCAACAATCATATTCAAGCCATACTAAAACTGACCGGTCATAAATCTCGCTTATTTGTAACAAACACACACAATCTGGTTGGAAAAGTTTTACCATAGACCCATATTTATATGCCCCCGGTGGATATTACAAACAACAATGCATTTATCACTGAGTCAAACTAATTTGCAGTAGCAAATGCACACAGCACAACTGACCAACATGCAAAATGTACGTTGCAGACCTGCATTTCAATATGTCAGCGGAGAGAATATGGAAATGGTACTAACCTACACCATTTATCCTCCAACGCAACATAATATTGATCCTCTTTATCGCTCCGGCAAATTGGCGAAACTTTACACTTTGTACCAACACACACATACACATACAA